GGGGGGTTATGTCTTATTGAAACACAAGTTCTTATTTAGTTTTAGTGAGAATTTTACGGCACTTGCTACACAAACAGCTCATCGGAGCGGAAGGTTAGAGGTGTTACTGGAGAGTAACATACAAATAAAAGAAGGAGGGGACGTAAGGACGATGGATGGTGGATAAGAAAAGAAGGGGGCAAACCACATCAGAGCACCCACTGGCCACTCATGAAATAGGTTTTGTTTTGGAGAGAGGGAGAGGGAGAGGGGGAGAGTATGTCTTATATTGGATCATGGGTTTGGTTCATGTGAAGCACATCCATCCACTAGGGGTTCCTTTAGGCACACAGGAAGCAGTTTCAACAAAATGACACGGGATACAGGAGCAAAACGTACAACACAGCTGCACACAATGAAACAAACGCACACATATCACAAAGACACACACACATCACACATATCCTACATACGCATCACACACATATAAGACACAATGAAACACACATACACAGAAGTGTATGCAAAAACATTCATGCACACATATTATATCAGTTCAGTGCTCTCTCTCTCTCTCTCTCTGATCCCAGTCTTACCTTCCACTTATTCCAGCGTTGAGCAAATTGAGCACACAGATAGATACACATGAAGCTGCCCACCATCTGTTCAGACATAAAAGAAAAGGAAAAAAATTTCATTCACAGACCAACATCAGCAATCATGATTCCCCATTCCTTCCTTTGCTTGGATGCTCTAAAAAAGAAACCGGACATTATCTTGATCTTTCCCTGTCAACTGTTTCATTTTTTAAACAATTGTATCAATATTTTGGGGGTTTTTTTCTTACTTTTTTCAACATGCAGAATTTGAAATTCGACAAATTATTTCTGGAACACACGCAAATAATACTACAAATGAAGAAACCTGGCAGTGACTGATCTAGGATATTTCATTTGTAGTTTATGATAAATATAATATAACAGTGACTGATCTAGGATATTTCATTTGTAGCTTATGATAAATATAATATAACAGTGACTGATCTAGGATATTTCATTTGAAGTTTATGATAAATATAACAGTGACTGATCTAGGATATTTCTTTTGTAGTTTATGATAAATATAATATAACAGTGACTGATCTAGGATATTTCATTTGTAGTTTATGATAAATATAATATAACAGTGACTGATCTAGGATATTTCTTTTGTAGTTTATGATAAATATAACAGTGACTGATCTGGGATATTCTATTTCTAGTTTATGTAAATAAAGAAATAGTAACTGTACTAGGAAATTCTATTTCTGGTCTATGATAAATATATAAACAACGACTGTACTCGCATATTCTATTTTTAGTTTATGATAAATATATAAACACTGACTGAAATGGGATATTCCATTTCTAGTCTATGATAAACACAGAAACAGTGACTACTCTAAGATATTCTATTTCTAGTCTGTGATAAATACATGGACAATGGCCGGTCTAGGATATTCTACACCTAAGCTTTATGAACACGCCATGGACAGTGACCAGCAAGCGTGCCACGTGTGTGGTCAGTGGTAGGCCCTACCTGTATGCACAGCCAGGTGATGACGTAAGTGATGACTGCCTGCCGGAACATCTGGGCGCCAAACTTGAGGCAGATGATGCTCTCTGTCAGAGTGATTGCACTGAAACCACACACACAGGTTTTAGTTATTTTTATAGTTTTAGTAAGAGTTTTATGGCACTTGCAACACAATAAGGTCATGCAAGTGCTGAAGATGAGAGGAGTTACAAGAGAGTAACAAACACAAAAAAGAAGGAGGAGAGATAAAGCTATAGATGTTTGATAGGAAGGAAGAAGCAAACTACACCAGAGCACCCACCAACCACCAACGTACTAGGTCTTTGTAAGAGTTTTACAGCACTTGCAACACAATAAGGTTCGATATATGCCAGGGTTTCACTGCAAAATGATGATGTTTTAGTTTTAGTAAAGGTATTTCGGCGCTTGCAACTGCATAAGGTCATATGAGCGCCAGAAGATTAGAGGTGTTACAAGAGAGTAAAAAACATAAAACAGAAGAAGGGGAGATAAGGACGATAGATGTTTGATAGGAAAAAAGGAGCAAACCACACCAGAGCACCCGCCAATCACCCAACAACATGATGAGGTCGTACAAATTCCCAAGACTAGAGGTGTTACAAGAGAGAAACATACAAAGAAAAGAAGGAGGGGAGATAAGGACAATAGATGTAAGGAAAGAAAAACTAAATATGGCTAAAACTCTCGTTTCTATCTTCCCTCTTTTAAACCCCCCACCCCTTTCTCTCCAGGTGCTTCATGAGCTCAGTTGGTATCAAGCTGGACTACGAAGCAGATGGCCCTAGTTCGAATCCCAGACTGGGCATTTTAGAGCTTGGGTCATCATGTAGAGCTTTCAAGTCTCTCAACTCAGTTGGCTTAGTTCTGTTGTAGACGGACGTTAAGTACTGAGATTCCACCTCTTAAATGACGTGACTGTGTTGATAGACATACACTTACTTTCCTCTCTCTCTCTCTCTCACTCGCTCTCTCTCGCTCCCTCCCCCTTTAAATATAACCCTATAGTTTGTGTGTTGCGGTACAATCTTACCTGAATCCTTATCCCCCCACCCCCATCCCCCCTTCTCTAAACTCAACAGTTTGTTTTGTGCTATAATTATAATCTTGCCCTTAACCTTCCATACACATACACACACATACACAGACAGACACACACACACACACACACACACACAGAGCCAGACACACACACACACACACACATACAAACGGACAGATGTACTCACCAGAAGACCCAGCATTGGGTCCCCACCCTCTTGCATCTAGTGTCAATGACACACACACACATACACAGACACACACACACACACAGACAAACACACAGATGTACTCACCAGAAGACCCAGCATTGGGTCCCCACCCTCTTGCACCTAGTGTCAGTGACATAGACGTAGTACTGCCTGAAAAACAAACAACACAATACACACAGATGGTTCAACAGAATTCATAATAATGACAATAATGATGATTATACTGATAATAATAATCATTTAAAACAAATCAAAACAAAATAATAATAATAATAATAATAATAACATGAAAAAAGCATCTGCACAATGCACTTCCCAGCTCAGCAGCAAACTTTCAGAA